ACATTTTTATTAAAAAAAAAACCTACAAATTAAATTGTACACCTATGAATGTTTACATTATTATACAAAATTTCTATTAGTTGATAATAAAAGATGCATTGTAAAAGAAGCAATTCATATTTTTTTATTGTTTTAAACCATTCCAATATCACCCACAATTTTTTAAACTTTATTTCTGCAAAGTTATAACGTTAATGATATTGAACATATGTGTGAATATGTACATTACATGTCATAATCTATAGAAATTATATTTTAAAAATACTACAGATAAGCTATATCTTAAAGTTTTTCATTATACACTACTCCGCAAAATCAACGGATCGCTAAATTTTGACCGAAAAATTGTCGATATACGAACTGCTGTAACTTGATGAAAAAAAATCGTACAACAGTCTACCTGGGCTCATTTTAAAGGGTGAAGCCTCTACTTTCACATTCTTGAACTGAATTTTTTCAAACACGCTTTTACAGCATAAAACGGAGTGGAGAACTAAAGTTGTCTTTTCTCTACAAAATTGATGTATGATTTTTTCTTACTGTTTTATCCCGCTTTAGATGAAAAGTTGTTTAGAAACGAGTATTACCCCTTCGTTGCATTATCACTTCTTGGCATCGTTCGTGCATGTTGATGCATCGCCGCATTAACTCTAGAGGGATGCCCCAAGAAGTGATAAGGCAACGAAGGAGTAATGCTCGTTTCTAAACACACTATACACGTACTAAACACACATTACATACGCACTAAACACACACTAAAGACACTTGAGGTACAAGTCCGACCGTGCAACCTCCTCGTGGTGTACCTTGGGTAACTCTAATGCCGGCGGCACACTTTTCATTTAGAGTGCGATAAAACGACGACAAAAAATCGTACACCAACTTTTTAGGGGGCGTTGTAAAGGGGAGACTTCCCTCATTTTAAAACGAATCTCGAAAAAGCTTTTTCAAACTCCGTAGAGTCGTTTGAATTTATAAAATTTGAAACAGAAGAAAGCAACTTTAGTTTTCCGCTCCGTTTTACAATATAAAAGGGTGTTTGAAAAAAATCCAGGGATGTTAAATTAGAGGCTTTACCCTTTAAAATGAGCCCAGGTAGACTGTTGTACGATTTTTTTTCACGATGTTACAGCAGTTCAAATATCGACAATTTATCGATCAAGATTTAGCGATCCTTTAATTTTGTGTTTAATTATTTTGTTTCAATATAATACGCGTAACATCATTTTTATAAAATTATTACTAAAAAGATCTTTTGCTTTTGCTTGTAATTCGCTTTTCACACGATGCTTCAGGAACCGGTAGATTTTTCAAATCGCAATTTTCTTTTTTTTTTTTTGTTTCTTTTAATTGTAAAGTCACATGCACCTTCTAAGGTTATTAGTGACCACGGCGGAAGTAATTGGCGGGACAGACACGTAAGTACGTAAATATAGTAGACAGTGGAGTCGAATATCTTTTAGGAATTCTTTTCTTATTTTTTCGCAGTTTGTTTTACGTTGGTTTGTGTAAAATGTAACAAAGTGCTTTGCGATTTTTTGTTTACAATGTTCCGACAAAATTTTACGACTGTATCGATTATAATTCAGTGAAGAATGAAATTGAACAAACTCGTAATTGAGTGGGAATGTAGGAATAAATGGATATGGTTACACAATAACAATATATTTCGTTACCATTATATAAAGGCGAATATTGTATACAAATGTGCAAAATATTCCGAGTATCCACGATCAACGTGGCGTATGGGAACTACGTTCACACTCGTCAGACTTCTAACTCACATAAAAAAATCAATATTTCGGTAAACAAATTATTTACAATTGTTTAGTAGTTTTATACAGACGTTTGTATCTAATTATGAAACTTTACAAAAGAAAGCGTAACTTATCGTATATACAGTATTATACGTTTAATTTACGAGTATCGATCAGCTCATAAAATATATTAAGTACACAACAAGGAATGTTTTTGAAAAGTTCCCGAATTGTATATATTGAAAATATAGCAGCATATACAACATTCTCTGTTTATATATACTTTACCGTATGTAATTATGTATTGCACCCAAGTTTTGCTTTTTTTTTAAATTAGTTGCATTTATTGTTATCGATATATCAATCAGATATGCTCAATTGTCTCTTAATCACGTAAATTCAATATGGGCATCTTACAATGGTACGTTAAAATTATCTCGCGAATCTCTCTTTTTTTTTTTTTTAACAACCACTTTGTAACAATGAGACTTACCTTGCACATCACTTGTCAAAATTGAATACTAAACATGCATAGCACAAAAATTTCTGTTATAAAACGAAGCGTTCTTCTCGTTATGAAATTCCGTTCGATCCGCTGGTCGATTTTTCTGGTAAACACTTCATGATCGTTGGCTCTATCAACTTCCACACTTCGGCGAGCTATAGATCATTCGAAATGTTAAATATTTGAAGGACCGATAAAAGAGGAAAACCTATTTCGATGATTTTCATCTTTACATAAAATCATTTATCTTCTTCTTCTTCTTTTCTCTTTAAAGGATTCGTACGTTACACTTACCAAATTCTCAGTGTTTTTTTTTTTGTTAACACAAAATATGACAGTGATTATCGCGATACTTTGAATTTTCTGTTAAGAATGAAGAAAGCTTACCTCAGAATGGCCGCGAATTTGGACATTCACCAGACTCTGAAGAACCGTGGCAAGTATCTCTAAATGCGCGTGAACAAGTTGCGTCTCCATGTGTAAACAGTGCAATGAGAAACAATTTCGTAACTCGACATTAGCAATCACCGATTCTTGAGCGACCATTTTGTTCTCCAGGTACTCAACTGTATCACTCTGTGAAGGAAGAAAAATCTGTCGCGATAAAATAGCCTGTGAAATGTATTTCCTTTCATTCCCTAAACTTAGTTTCTCGTTATTATTACTTGTTGCTATCAATGTGAAGATTTTTCTGAAAGCGAGAAGTAATCACAGGTTGGAAGGATTTTGATGGAAACGCGATGAACGCGATATTGAAAGGCGGAGGGAAGCTTTTTAAAAAAGGCGTCAGCTGCACGCACAGCCTGTTTTCAATTGGAATGGATTATGTAAGACGATACAAGCTCGAGATTATATATTATCACATTTTCCCTCTCGCATTAACATAAAAGACCTTGAGCAATTTCCGAATAATCACGTAATGACCGGCAGACACGGTAACAATGAATCGAGTTAAGTCACCGGATAAATATACCTTTCTTAAGCCTGTAAATCATCGCCCGTTGCTCGACCGTTTCGCAGGATTTACTTACATCAGTCCCGCGAATCACTCCTTGCATTTGCCGCTTCTTTAAAGATAGCATCGTAGACAATGCACGCTGATGATCGGCGCTTACTCCGCGCTCGTGCCTCTCGCACAGGATTCTGTGCGCCACTAGCACGTCCAGGAGGAGATTCAGCCTCTCACATACCATCGTCTCCTCCCTGACCGCCTGTTGACGGGCTCTCGTTGAGAGTAGATTGAATTCTCTGGAAATTGTTAAATGTAAATTAGAATTTCTTTGGAAGAATAGAGAACCGCTTTATGTTGACCCGCTGTTGTTCAATTTGCTAATTATTAGGTGCAGAAATGAATTCTTTCCGACTTTTGGGTACGATAAAGGTTTTATTACAAAAAAAATTAGAACAGATCACTCGTCGATGTAATTTCAAACATGGTGGCTTTGAATTAATTTTGTGAATCCAGCCGAAAAGAGTTCATTTCTACACCTAATAAATCAATTTAAATGCGTTTAAAGGAAGTGTTCGTAAATGAAGGTTTTACCGTTGATATATAATCTAATAATATATAAGATCAATCTGCTAGGTTTACGGGACGCGCCATTTTGACGCATTTCGAATTTCACAAGGAAACTTACATTTCTCTCCTACCACTTATGCTTATTACAAATTTTATACAAATATATAATATCACATAGTTTGATTTATAAGTTAGCAGCGTAGAATATGTCGTTTTTAAATAAATTAAGTTGTTTTTTAAAGAAAATGTGCGGTTTCGTTGACGCGTCAATTTGACAATAAGTGTTAAATCAGTCACAAAGCTTACTTCGAAATGATATGGAAACCCTTTTTCATCTCTTGCCAAATGGTGGAACCACCTGTTGCCCAAGCAGTGGTAACATGAGGTTCCGACGCCAGATTGCTTAATTGCGTGCCCAATTCTGCCATATCCACGGCATAGCTGTGCGATCTGATTGCTAGACAATCAGCGATATTTTTCAATCTAGAGATTCCGAGGAGTATCACTCTGATTTGATCGCGACTGTTTGCGAATTCTGTCAACGTCTCTGGCGGTACCAGTTCCTTCGCCCTCGACGACAGCTCTGAGGTAGCGAATTCGTCAGGTACTCGCCTGAATACTTCGCGAATCTTGTGTTGCGTTTCCTCGCCGGTGTAGTTGAAGAAAAACTGCACGATGTGGTCCATGCTCACCACCGGATGACGGGCGATCACCGTGAGGAATCTCAGAAGAGATCGTCTTCTTTCTTCCAGAAATTGAGAGTCCGCTGTAAATGGAACATTGTGATTAGCGATAGATACTAAATCGGTGCAGTGTTGTTAGACCCTTTAATATTTAAAGAATAGCTAACAGGCGAGTAAATAATTAGGGATATGAGCAACGGTACCTATTTTTTACAATATGTCAATAATAATTTTATTTATATTTGATGAAATTTGTAATATTTGACACTTTTCTTTTTAATCGATCACGTACTAAAGTTTCATCAGAATCGGTGATTATCGCTTCAGGACGTTCCCTCGTGGGTTATATAGCATTTCTGATAAAAGATTGTGACGAATGGAAAAAGATAGAAATGGGTATATTTGCACTTAATTAAATAAGTTTTCGATAATTCGGGACTTTACCTCCTACGATCTTTTTCGGTGGTAACTTGGGTATCAACCTGTACGGAAATCTTGCCAAGAGAAGCTCGTGCAACGATACGAAATCGTTGTAACGTCTGTAAACGACGGAATCGAATCTCTGGAAGTAAAAACTGTTTTCAATGCACCATTCTGTAAGTTGTAGTCTATAGCTTATTGTTAGGCATCACCTAGTGAGTAGTTGAGCTACATATTTAAGTTCAGTAGTATACACTTTAAAGTTTCTGTTTTACACAATTATGTTATACTGACAATACTGTTCGACAAAATGAAAATAAGGGGGAAATACCTTGCTGGTCACTTGGTACTCCACGTGCTTCAAGAAAATCCCTTTTTTCTCAGGCACCAAATTCACTTCTATCGTGTCTAGATTGCATATATCCGAGTAAGTAAGATTCAACTTGGCTGGATTGTTACCTTTGTGCAACCTTTGCGCCAAAAGCGTTACCTCGGAGAGGTCGCCCAGTACAGGAACAGGTAATTCTATTAAAAAGGACAAACAAATTGCAGAAGAAAAGAACCTGAAGAACAGCGAACAAAGCGAAATAAAGCAGCAGCAAGAAGACTGTAATTTACAAGCCTCTGAAATGCCAGTCAGAAGATACTTAACACTTTATGCTCGTATTTAGCTCAGACATAGCTGGGCAAAATTAATTTTCCTTGAACGAACACTCATACGATATAATGCAGAATTATAAATAGAAGATTTATCAGTTTTTTCTCTCAACTTTAAATATTGTTTAACGCGACAATATGTGGATTGATTTTACATATAAAAATTACACTTTATATTTCTCCATCGTGTGATATGAATGGTTTGCTGGGTGAAAGCAGATATACGACCGCAGATGGTTATTTTCATCTTTTATCCCTTTGTTTATTCGTTTTACATTATAAACGATTTGCAAAAGAAGAGGTGTATTATAAAATCTGCGGTATGAGTAAATCGCGTGCAGCTAATTCGTGAAGCCACGAGCAACTTCTTTTAGCGCTGTTCCTCCGACGTGAAAGATAATCGTCGTAGCCGCAACCTCGATACTCCAAAAGGCTTTCCTGACCTACGTTACTTTGTTGCGTGTGTACGGTAATACCGGAGTTGTAGCTCACTCTTGCCGGCTATTTTCGCGATTTCACTTCTTGCCACGTTAATTTAACGAAATACAGCGCAGAATGATTGACAAAGAAAACGTATGAAAAAAGCTTGATTTGCAATTTTTTTTTTTTGTCAGACAGTTACTACACGTTACGCTGGAGTGAGAGTAACAGTGAAATAAGAAAGATTCGATGATAATATGAATTTTACAGTGTTAGTGTATTTTTCAAATTCTTGTAACTTATTAAAATGAAATAAAATTAATTAACATTGATAAATTTGGGATAATATTGCGCTGTAAATTTCAAGGAAATTCGAGGTACGCTCGAATAGGTTTTTAACAGGCAATTGTTCGGTATTTCTAAATGACAAAAATATATCTCGATGCAGAGAATTCGAAAATTCGACGAACCTAAAATTTTCCTAAGTAAATTGATATTAAAAAGTCTGCATACGTAAATAAACTTGAAGCTGTAATTTTATTTATTAATAATTTCACGAGAAAGTTTAGTTCACCTTCCCCTAATTGATACGTTTCATCGTAAAGTTTACTTAATTTCTCGTCTCGAGATTAATCACCAGCAAAAACATCAAAAGTAAATATACAGAATGCATGTGACGTGAACTATCAATTATGCTGTGAAGAGTTTGTGCAAATTACATGATAAATAGCACAGCTTTAATCCTATGTAACGATAATATCGTTTCATCTGTAATCCGAGCAGATAGTGTGAATTTGTCGAAATGAAAATTACGAACAATTCCTTTCATAGTCTCTGACAATTTAATTATCATACTGCCTACCTATTGTTAGGTAATAAAGAAAGCACGTTGAACTGTAATTGAACGAAACAAAGCATTGTATCTAATGAATTATTCAGATGGAAAGCAAAAGAAATTAGTTAGACGGAATTTGCAATTCACCTCTTACATAAACATACTATTTTACAAACGATTTTCCTCTATGTTTAATTACTTTTCACCGTAAACCAGAGTCACGGTGGGAAAGATTGTTGGAAGAACGGTGCGCTTCCGGTGAACCTCCTTCGACCGTGATAAACTCTCGTCTTTCCGACGATAAGAAAAAGCAGGTACTGATTAAAAACCGATTCCCTTCGTAAGGATGTTAGTCGTGATGTGCTTGAACGTTATCGAAACACTTGTATGATAATGAGTCAATTACAGTGACATCTATCGAGTATGCGGTGCTGAAAGTGTGCTTACACCTCGATTAACCCCTCGAGGTTCACATCCGTGATGTGCTTGAACGTTATCGAAACACTTGTATGATAATGAGTCAATTACAGTGACACTCGGTCATCTATCGAGTATGCGGTGCTGAAAGTGTGCTTACACCTCGATTAACCCCTCGAGGTTCACATTTTTCTCCAATTTGATGTGCCGAAAATGATCAATTTTATTTATTTACTTTTTTTCATTATTTCCTCGGTGTATAGAAACAAGTTTAGAGAAATGTGCACGGTGTGATAAGACGCAGAGAGATAAAGAGGCGATTCTTTTCGTTGGACGAGAAATACCGGAGTCTGTGAAATGAATAGTAAAACAAACCTTGAGATTCAGAATTCTCCAGAAGTTTGTCGCTCGGATGCTTCGCTTGCTGAGCGAACGCGACTAGAGCAAGGCCCTTGTACAATCCACTTCTGGTTAGGTAACCCGTCTTGCTGTCCACTAACTCCCATATCTGAGAAAATAAGGAAAGCAAATTGATTCATATCTTCTGCTGGTTTGTTAACAATTTTAGCCAGAGTATTAGCTTCCAGCACGATGTGAGTGTCTTTCAGATTTTGAATTATCAGTTAGCCGTAAGTTGGCCGTTAAGTTCATTTAACTTTCGTTTCGAAGTTCATTGAAAAGTTGTCAAAAATTTTCGTCTAACTAATTTTTCCATTAACAACGAAGGATCGAAAGGATCTTCTTTCGTCGTCGAACTCGGAGAAAAGGTACGATATAAAAATGAAACACTTTGGTAGGAAAGGAAAAGAAAAGAAAGGAGAGATCATTTTTTCTACTTAATCTTCTCATATTATGCGAAATTTATTGAAAAAAATAAACAACTCTGTGTGTAACAATGGAACAATAGAGTTGTTTCTATTTGGAAGGATAGTGAGATTGCGATGAAGAGGATAATTGTGTAAAAAGAATGATTGATAACTGAAATTTATGGATTACGTTAAAGTGTAATACATGATGATTAATAAATTGACATGCGACAGATCTGTTAGAAATTACACTTCGAATTACCGCAGTTATTTAATTACGCGTGGTAGATAACGATGGGTGAGAATTTGAAATCATTTATAACACGTCAGTTAGAATTACTATCACTATTCTTCATGGAAATTTTCATAACGGACTCGAGCATTTTTATCGCAATTAAAAGAGAGAATTATTTACGGAACTCCTATCCATTCGGTAATCGTTCTGTTATCCGAAGTTCCAGGAAAGTTCCACATGGACTATTTCCTTCGTGATCAATACGATACAAAAGGCAATAACGTCTTTTCAACACGAAATTCAAGGTTCAGCTTTAACGACAGCGAATCTCCTAATCGCTGAATCTTATCCCTCACGTTTCAATTTGCTAATTATCCGTGTGTTTTGTCCTTTCTTTTGCATAATTCGCGAGCATGCGATAAAAGCGGCTTATTACACCTCAGAATTCAGAAATAATCGAGCCAGTTTACTCGAAAAATCTTCAAACTTCGAAGTTTACTTAAACTTTTACTTTTGGTTACTCAAAAGTTGAAAAAGTCTTTTACCATCAGAAGGAAACCTTTCAGAGAAAAATGTTTTTCTCAAAAAAGATAAATTTTATAAAAGAACAGTTGGAGTAGGTTTGGAATGCATACTAAGTAATTCTCAATATTTGCACTTCAATTACACAAAAGTCAGCTACTGATAACAAAAAAAAAAAAGGAACCTTGAATCGTTAAAATTGACGAACCATTGGAGTATTGAAGACTCGTTAAAAATCACGAATTATCGTATGAAATGTTTTTTAATGTTCACTCTTTTGAATGGAGTCGGTGCTCGATTGAAAATAACACGATAAACGCAATTCAAAGCGACGAAAGGCACGGCTACAGGTAGAAAATATCACGGTTGCGCAAAAGGCACGCGGGAAAATTGTGAAACAGGTTTACGAGGAAAACTGTGGGAAAGAGGGAAGAATATTAGCAGCCTTATTCCAATACGGACGGTGACTTTCTCGACGCGGCGAGGTCTGTAAAAGTTCAGGGTTGTACAAAATAATTCCCCCCTTTGTTGCTTGTTATCTAAATCAAACAACACTTGGAAAGTTACCACCACAGACGCTACCTGTCATTTGAACAAGTGTCCGTGGAAGAAGGGAGGGGGAAAGTTATTTCATACTTCAAGATTTATTTGCATTCCTGTACACATTTTTTTATTCTTCGTTTCGATGGTGACAAATTTTTACGGTACCTAAATATGTACGTGTAATTTTTCAAAACAACTCAAATTATGCATTTCATGAGACAGTTCTGAGATCATTTGTTAAATTGAGAATTTTAAAGATGGGAAATGTTTTATTCTTTTCAAAAAATTAAGAATGGCAGGGGTAAATTTTGAAGAAAACGGAGAATTATGGGGGTAAATTTTGAGAAAAAATAAAGAACGATGGGGACTTTGGGGAAATATTGAAAAATTAAGAACGATGGAGGTAAATTTAGAAAAAAATAAAGAACGATGTGGATTTTGGGGAAATTTTGAAAAATTAAGAGTGACGAAGGTAAATTTAGAAAAAATTAATATTTTTCGAAACTTCTTTACCATCTCAGTGTTGTAAAACTCCCAATTTCTTTAAGATGGTGCATTCACTTCTCTTTAGGATCGTTTCATTGCCAAAACAAAAAATTAGTTAAGACGTAATTAGACCAAAAAAGACATAATTAGCGTCACTTGAACTACATTTCTGTGAAGTTTCAAATTTTTAAAAATTTTCGGATTTACCGAACATTCTTTGTTAGTAAAATTAGAAAACTTCATCGAATAATTAGGACAATGATTTACTTCTCTGTATCGTCATTTCTACAAATACTTGTACATATCGATATTAACAAGTGCTTTTATCACCATTTTCTCATACTCGCTGCAGAATCGATCGAATTCAAACAGTACTTGTAACAGACAAATCTGTCACTCTCTACTTGATCACGTTAATTAAATTGAGGCAGACGATTTACGTGAAAGAGAAGGAGAGGACCAAATTGAATCTTTAAGAAGAGCTTAACGCGATGTAATCCACGCGAGACACCCGACTAACGGTGCAACCTCGGTTAACACCATGAACGAGTCCAAAGGATTAGGCCATAAATGAAAGTAACTGCATTCCGAGAATTTTTATACCTTGCTCCGTCGTTTATGCCTCTCCTTCTTTTATTCCCACCGGCTCTACTCTGTCTTTCACCGATCTGGCAGAGTACGCCGAGACAGCACGTTACGCGCATCTAGATTCTGCTCTATACACCGTCAGCCAACAGCATTTCTATTAGAAAATGTTGCTTACGCGAACAGGCGAGATCGAGAGTGATATATGTATGTGAGGTTAATTCTTCCACGGTTTTCTGGGGAAATATCGACGAATTGAAACGAGTTACAGCTGGCTCTGAGATGTTGACACGGCGTTGATTCAAGAATGGTGTAGCATGTGACAAAGAATTTCACTCGTTTCTGTTGTTTTGTAATTTTTTAATGGAATTTTATTACATTCTATGATTACTTTTGTACTAATAAAGTTAGAGATATAAAAATTGTATAAAAATTTGAGATTTTTTATTTTTGAGAAATATATGTTAGCAATGTAGTAGGGTTATCTTGTTAGCATTTTTCAATTCGTAGTGGGACGTTAAAATTCAATTTTTCTCATGTAATTAGGTTTCCATAAAAAAAGAATAGATTTGCAGGTTAAATTGGAATAATCGATCCTGATAAATTTGTGAAATTTTATGATCAATATTTGAATAATTTGGGAACAAGAATTTGTTTATCAGTAGTTACACTGCTTGTTTAGAAAGTGCATTTCTTTTAAAAGAGACGACTTGATGTATGAAATTTCACAGTTGACCAAAATCGAAATAACGACACACTTTCTGAAATGTTTCAAATACCAAAGCGCTTCCGGGAATTGATTCCTCTTAGAAGAATACAAATTAACCGGATTCTTGGACAGTCTATCTCGTATTCAAAATATAAGTGACTCGGGAATATAAATGGTTGTTTACAAAACGAGTTTTCACATGAAATGTATTCAAAATGTAATTTCACGATGTACAATAACGGGATGCGATAAAACTCGTTTCTACAGGAATAACAAGCTCTTCTCACACATCGACCTGGTTACAATTGTTCTTCCTTCAGCATGATCGTGACAACTTGATGCGTCGAAGAGACGCGAAGTTACATTTGTCATGTTGGTGGGCAAAATCGGATAAATAAGTTGTCCAGACGCGAGGATGACGATTGTCAATCGAAAAGAAGAAACGAATCGATGGATCGAAGAGCAGAGAAGGGAGAGACGCAGAAATATGTTGAAAATAATCCAAAAGACAGTACTACAAATTCGAAAATTCAATATGAAATATTCTAAGAATGTTTGGCATAAAAATAGTCGAGCAAAGAGATAGAAAAAATACGTAATTATCAACGAAACATGAATTATACTGAATGGCGAACATAATCTCTCCTCCGACCGAGGCATTGCTGGCAATGAAAACGCAGATACCGCTGCGAAAGAAGCAATATCATGAACACCTAATTAAGAAAACGAGCTCATATTCCTGTAATCTCTACAACCACGCAATATCGATAAACCGTGGCACTCTACATGTGCAGAAGACTTCAAGTTCAACGCCAAAAATATCCAGACACCGCAGCAAAAAAATACCGTAAATTATTTAAAAGACACCAACCCCTGCTACAAAATTGAAATACCCCAATGTAAACAAAAGGGAATTACTAACCTCGATAAAAAAATGCTACAGAACACGAAGCAAATGTGAAGAAGTACACAGAGTAGAAGATGAGAACTCTACACGTTAATAAGATAATCGGAAAGGGATGCAAAAAGGAGGCGTGTGCGAGCGTATCGCTAAACAAAAGCGGAAGAATGGAAAAAGGGGAAAAGCGAATGCAGCCGAACGTTAAATATGGGCAAACACAGAAGTGCATGGAAAGAATGGGGTGTTCCGGTGCTTGTTCTCACTGTTCGAAAGCGTTGGGCCCTTGTTTTCTCATCGGTTTCACGAGCATTATTAAACCTTAATCGTTGATCAAGTTCAACGAGGGAGGAAGCAACGGTGAAAATAAGTTCCTTGTTCGTGTGAACCCGGCTGGAGAACAATCGCCGCGAAAGCTGAGAGTTTGCTCGTTACGAGAGCGCGTCTTTTCAGTTTCAATAATCCCTCTTCGTCTCTCTTTCTCTCTCCTTTTGCTGGTTGCATATGAATCGCGTGAAGGAATTCTCCCGCTGAAATAGGATTGCTCGTGAACCGACAATACGGGCGTTTTTCTATTTCTCTCTGCCCGTTCGACGCATCGAGTGCACTCGCTTCGCACGAATAAACTTCGATCTTTCGACAGCTTAAAGCGATCATTTTGATGAAATATTTTTCGAGGAAATACTGTAAGATGGAGTGAAATTTTGGGAAATTGCATATTTTT